CTGGGATATCCCCGCCACTTCACCAGATATTTGGTGTTACCCAGGTGACGACGCCGTCTCACTAGACGTTTCATGTGATAGTGGACGTCTCCGTTCTCATCGAGAAGAGTCGCTGGCGAACGGTGATGACCGGGTGGATCGTGATGCTCTTCGAGCCCTTAAGATGAGATCCTTTGTGATAGGAGCTCCGCTGAGCGTCATGCCGAAAAAGCATATCGCTGTGCGGACGCTCTTGATGATTTGAAGCGCGTCGTGCGCCGGCTGCGTCGCCTTGAAGACTACCGCGCTCCGTCGGTGCGACTCCTAGCCGTGGAGCAGGCGAATGCGTCGCTGCAGGCAACGGTGCAATTGGAGATGGAGGTTGTTGCACTCCGTGCTCAGAACTAGTTGCTGGTTCAGTTTCTGGGTGACCGAGGGCCCGTGGGACCCGTGGGATCCGCTCTGGTGCTCGTTCACATGCTCCGGATCCTGATACGGCTTGAGCAAGCCCATGTAAAACACCGGGTGGGTGCGCATCCGTTTTAGAAAGTTCAGCGTATACGCTAGGCCGGCTTGGCCACAAGCTTAAACGGTCCGATAATCCGTGAACGAAGCTTCGTCCTGAAAAAGCAGAGGCTGCATGTGTAGGCAGGTTTTTAGAATTTAATAAAACCAGGTTCCCGACCTTAAAATTTTCTACTTTGCCTCTTCCTTTTTCATCTGCATATTCTTTCTGCAGGAGTTGGCTTCCAACCATCGCATCGCAAACGTGTCGTAGGACACTCAGTTTGCAGATGGTGTGAGGGCTGACATCAGCTAGCCGTTCGGCTATTCCTCCTGCACCAAGCCCTGAGCTATAGCGGCGTCAGTGAAACGCGAGGGTGAACCAGCCCGTTCACGTAGAACGGCGTGTAGCCTGTAGATGAGTGCTTTGAATTATTCAGCGCAAACTCTACGAGTTGCAACATGGCGCCCCAGCGCCTCGGCGTCTCAGCGCAGACGCTACGAAGAACGCCTTCGATGACGCGATTCACCCCTTCGGCTTGACCATCGGTCTGCGGATGATCCGCTGTCCACATATCCAACTTGGTGCCTAGCACCTTATAGATAGTCGACCAAAATTTTCCCGTGAAACAGGGGTCTCTATCAGCGATAATCAACTCTGGGAGTCCGAACACGATCCACGAACAGCGTTGCTGTACCGACCCCGTCGATGGTGTCAAGCACCGCCGCCGAATGAGCCATCTTGCTCAACCGGTCGACGAATACCACGACCCCCGTGTCGCCCGCCGCATCTTTTGGCGGGCCAAACACAAAGTCCAAACTCATGGACTGTCAGCACCCATTGGGTTCGGTAAGTTGGCCAGCGGTGCAGCTGCATTCGGAGAGAGTTTCACCCGTTGACGCGTCTCACAGATGCGCACATAGGTGCTCGTTGAATTGTACAGCTTGGGCCACCAATAGTGGTAACTCACAGAGTTGTACGTTTTCTCACGACCGA